AGTGATTTTCTAACTCGCTCCGAGATATCTTTCTGTGTTTGAAACCATTTTCCCGAACTCGAAAAAACTATGCCTAAATAATAATATTTTGCTACAATTTCAATTTCTTTACCCCTCACAAACCATATTGCCATGTTTGTTTATATGTGATTCATATCGCGCCCATACCTGGCGCGATGATCACTGTCCTTTAAATAATTTTCGAGTACTAATCACATATCAATGAAGCTTGGTACATGGATGCTCTCGCAGAGCTGCCAACCATTATGAATCTAGCGTAACTATTTATGGTATTATGGTATTAGATTATGGTATTACAATGCAGGAAATATTTAGTATAAATTTAAGTGATCACAGAAATTCGTTAAAGCAGTCCAAATCACCCGGTCGCATGCAAATGCTCATTTTTTCATGAGTTGACCTGAAACTGTGTTCTTCGACCTGATCGATCAAGTTTCTAATTAACTAATTTGAATTGCTGGGGGCAAATGTATTCAAAATATTCGAATATGTTTATGAATGTTCAGTGATTCACCAATGTTGTAGTACGATATTTGGCAATGATTTTAACGGGATTTTTTAAAAATAAAGAAGTAACTGAACTGAGCATTGATGCAAAAGAATAATTTAACACGTTTAAATTGCGATAACAGCTCATTGTCTTACCCATTTACGCTACTCACAAGAAACATGATACTCTTGAATATGCGTCAATGACTGGGGACAAACTTAGACTTTATTTTAGGTGTCGGGAAACTGCTCTTCAACGACTCAGGGCGAATTTATGGCACAATCTGGTAAATGTGAGTGCGTTCGGAAATCTTCGGGTTAACTTTAGATTCTGAGAAAAATGCACACCTACAATACACACCTACAAAAATAATCATTGCTAGTTTGTTCTATAATAGTCTGAGGTCAAACATACAAAGCTGAGGAACACCAGTGCAAGTATTCTAGTTCTATTGGAAACTGCATGTTTCAATATGGCTCGCGTAACGAGAAACTGGGCAGTCATAATTGCAGAGGTAATGTTTACCAATTTTTTAATTGAGCATAATTGTACCTTTGTCTCTGTTTTGGGCCACACAGGACAGCATTTCAGAAAAATGTTTAAATAAGGTTGTGCACGCACAAACACGCCAATTCTCCTACAGATACTAGGCCAAATCCTTTTACATCGCTGAGTATTTGTTTAGACAAGCTATGCTGTAAAAAATAGAATATGTTTAAAAAGTAAGAAATTTTTATGAAGTAAGGAAAACAAGTTGTCTTGTTTATTTCTGAAAGTTATTCTACCTTTGTTTGAGAAATCAAGTACATAAGTTGAATAGTGTCCTGTTTCAACAACTAAAATATATTAAGGTCGGATTTGTCAAACCAGATTCGTGCTGACAGTGATTGTGCTGCTGTAGACTTATAAAGTTCAGACAAAGGTGCAACGTACACCAAGGTTGGACAAAATCAATCTATACAAAATCAAAATCTGTAATTAGATTGATCATTAATCGGCCATACAGTTGTTGCTAGTGAAACTGTTCTATAAAAAGTTGTAGATGAGAACTTAACTGATATAAAATTATACCAGCAAAGCTCTATACAAGTGTATGCATGTATAAATAGAAGTAATAATGCATACCGATTACAAAAAACAGAGTTTATTTGAAACACAAAATATATGCTTTATACAGTTCTTGTATCCAGCCTAGACTTGCATACAGTCTCTTTTTTGATGTCTTTTCAATAAAAAAAGCGAGAACCAGGTTACCGTGAAATAAACAAATGATTTTCAAAACCTGTGATGATTGCCACCAACCTGGGTTCAGTGCGGTGATTGACAGGTTCATTATTATTCAACCACTCAGTGTTAACTCATCATAATTGAAATTAGATTCATCCCAATAAAAACTGCACTGAAATTGTGCATGCTTGAGATTTGTTATCGCAAGACAGCGTTGAAGATGCACTAACAATACTAGGTTATACATCACTTAATACCACTAACTGCCTGAACTCAATTTCATGAAAGCCATGTGTCTTCTGGCCAGCTTCCAACACGCTTCTACGGTTATCTAATTTTTCTGTATTTGACCTAACATACAATACAAATGCATATCCATGATATGATATGATACGACAATTGTGAAACTTGTTTTAGTTCGTGTGCTAGCTGTTGCTTGCCCTCTATTCATGACCGTTTTGAAAGATTGTAAACTTATATACGTATGCACGTTCCGCCCATCCATCAATTTTTATGACATCAGTGAAATTCTCATTAATATTAAATATTAACGCGCGCCAAATTGTATTAGTCGACGTTGTTGCTCGTGGAGTTCATGAAATAAAGCGTTGAGCCCTACCATCGCACCTGTCATGCCAGGCTACCTTTCCAATTGGACTCTAGACTTTTTTGACTTTTATGATATATGACGGGTTCGGCTATGGTAGTACGTGGATCTGCTCACCAGATTTCAGGGTCATATATATATATATATATATACTTAGGTACTACATGTGGCCCTCTCTCAGATTTGTTCATTTCGCGATAATATCTTTGATTCTCTAATTTTGATGAATATCTGTGTCATTTTTGGTAAAAGTGACATTTTCGACTTCTTGTTGAAAACCGCAAGTCTGATTGCTTTGATATTATATATATATATAATACATGTGAACAGCTCTCATATTTGTTTATTTCGTGATGATATCTTTGATTCTCTAACTTTGATAAATATATTTTGTCATGTTTGGTAATAGTTGCTTTGATACCATACATATTGTTCATTTTCTAATGATATCTTCTTTATTTGAAATGTGCACTGGCAACAGCGGAGCTATCTCAGCCGAGAGGCTTCTTGTTAAATACTATGACACAGCTAATTATGTAATTGTTAATTGGCTCAAAACACCTGTTTAGACACTACATGCCTGTGGCAATCATAAGTAGCGTGTTTTTTTTTTGTTAGTTCCAGCATCAATCACAACCTTCCCATCAGACCAGACAGTAACTGAAGGAACGAATACAGTAACATTACAGTGTGCAGCTACTGGTAAACTAATACTATTACATATACATGGAAGAAAGGCAGTGATGATATCAATATAAGTGGTAGATACAGTCTGAATGGTGGATCATTGACTATCAGTAATATTGTAAGAGAAGATGATGGTATATATACATGTTATGCTAGTAATGGTGTAGGACTACAAGCTATAAGTCACTCAGCAACAGTCACTGTACAGTGTAAGTGTTCATATTTCAATTGCTTAAGAAGGTTTGGGCTAAAATAAAGATTATATGTCATCATCTTCATACTTTCATTATTAAAGGAAATGAAAACATGACTTCTTCTTTAAAATATTTTCATTACTATACATTCACCTGTGAGGTATAGCTACCACAAGTGTATTAAGAAAAAAAACAATTCTTTTGACCTCAAATTTGTAAATTTTGATATTAACCGAATGATTTCATTCTATCATTGTATCATGGTTTTGTACTGATGCACGTCATTTTTGAACAAAATTGTCGACTGGTGGCCATTTTGTTTTTACTTATGTCCATGCAAACATACATGTGTAATGCATGATTCAGTTAAACATTATTATACAAGTACTATTCTCTTCCAAAATACCGTATTAATGGTCATTTTTTCTAAAATCGTAGCCTGTAAATATATCAAACTAAGTACAATGATGCTAAATACTCTTTTTTGGTGTCACCTTAATGTTTAGCTCCACTGTCAACTTTGTCGAGTGGAGTTTATCATATTAGTGTTTGTCCATTGTCTGTTGGCGTCCGCATCAACTTTTTACTTATTCAACTTCTTTTTGAAAACTATAATTCTGATTGTTTTGATACTTGATATATATATGTACCTTGATATTACACATTTAGGAACCTTGGATGGATTGTTTCTTATTCAGCATTTAACATATGCCACACTATTGAGTTTTAAGTAAAATATAGCGAAGTCAGACATTTAATGGCGGCCAATTAAGTGCATCTTAAATACATTCACCCCTCTTAATAACCTTAATTGTATTATTTGGTGTTCAACGACAGTAAATGACTGCTAAGCATGTTCAGAACAGCACATAATTGTTATTCAAGATTCAAAAAATTCAAAGCTTAGTTAGATTCAAGCATTTGTAATTTAATATGTTTATTACAGTGAAAAGTATCAATATTTTGTTATTGAAATTAATCTAGATGTTGTAAGATCAAAACAACTGATTACTTAATGCCAAGATGCCAATATGTACTTTCACACACTTGTTGTCAGTTCTGGTTGCTGCATGACCAAGAACATCATCATGGGTGACTCATGATGTACACATGAGAGTTACAATAGATTGTTTTAAAGACAAGTATCCACCAACAGATCCACCAACTATCACCACGTCACCATCAGATGAGACAGTTCACAAAACAAACGCAGTGACATTAAGTTGTGAAGCTGCGAGAGGCAAACCAGCCACGGCTGTTATATATACATGGAAGAAAGGCAGTGATGATATCAGCATAGGTGGTAGATATAGGCTCAATGGTGGATCATTGACTATAATTAATATTGTAAGAGAAGATGATGGTATATATACATGCTATGCTAGTAATGGTGTAGGACAACCAGATAGTGCATCAGCTACAGTTACTGTGTATTGTAAGTAATGTTGTATGTGTAGTGTATTGTGAGTTATTTAGAGTTAGTAATATTGTAAGAGAAGATGATGTTATATATACATGTGATGATAGTAATGGTATAGGACAACCATATAGTGCTTCAGCTACAGTTACTGTATATTGTAAGTACTGTTGTATGTGTAGTGTATTGAGAGTTATTTAGTGTTAGTAATATTCTAAGAGAATATGATGGTATATATACATGTTATGCAAGTAATGGTATATGACAACCAGATAGTGCATCAGCTGTAGTTACTGTATATTGTAAGTACTGTTGTATGTGTAGTGTATTGAGAGTTATTTAGTGTTAATAATATTGTAAGAGAAGATGATGGTATATATATATGTTATGCTATTAATAGTGTAGAACAACCAGATAGAGCATCAGCTACAGTTACTGTATATTGTAAGTAATGTTGTATGTGTAGTGTTTTGAGAGTTATTTAGTGTTAGTAATATTGTAAGAGAATATGATGGTATATATATACATGTTATGCAAGTAATGGTATAGCACAACCAGATAGTGCATCAGCTGTAGTTACTGTATATTGTAAGTACTGTTGTATGTGTAGTGTATTGAGAGTTATTTAGTGTTAGTAATATTGTAAGAGAATATGATGGTATATATATATACATGTTATGCAAGTAATGGTATAGGACAACCAGATAGTGCATCAGCTGTAGTTACTGTATATTGTAAGTACTATTGTATGTGTAGTGTATTGAGAGTGATTTAGTGTTAGTAATATTGTAAGAGAATATGATGGTATATATACATGTTATGCTAGTAATGGTATTGGACAACCAGATAGTACATCAGCTGTAGTTACTGTATATTGTAAGTATTGTTGTATGTGTAGTGTATTGAGAGGTATTTAGTGTTAGTGATATTGTAAGAGAAGATGATGGTATATATACATGTTATGCTCGTAATGGTGTAGGACAACCAGATAGTGCTTCAGCTACAGTTATTGTATATTGTAAGTACTGTTGTATATGTAGTGTATTGTGAGTTATTTAGTGTTAGTAATATTGTCGGAGACAATGATCGTATATATACATGTGTAAAACAGGCCTTTGATAGTGTACTGAGTAAACTTAATATTAGACACTCTTTTAGTTTAAGTTACATTCTACCACTTTTGGGCCCAACTTTAGCCGTGGAAACTGTCAACTACCAAGGTAACAACTGTGATTCTATATCACAAGATGATAACAAGTTCTAGGGCAGTTTCCCTGTAAAGTAATTAAAACTGCCCATCTTCCGTAAACAGATACACATGGGAAACTATGTGTTTATTGTTGCATTACCATTGACATTGACCAACAGCTGCTAAACTAACATTTAGTCAGTTCTCGGTTAAACTTTCAGCAGTCAACAGCTTAAGTATGAGGCTTCTTCAAGATGAGACTGTACGTTGTACCGTTACATACAGTCAACGATAGCTGGAAAGACCACATACTATAGGGGTTACAAATGACTTTGTATCCAATGATGGAACATACTCTATGAAAGCTTCCTATTCCTGATCTTTGCCATTACCGTTGTGTCACTGCTTGACTACTTGCTGTCCGCTACCTCATTGAGCTCCAGATCTGAACTTGCTACAATAACCTTACTCAACTGTGCACAGCTACTCTCCTCATCCCCATTGTGTGGGATAACTACAATGTATACACCGTGGGCTTGACTTTCATCACGTGATCATCACTAAAGTTTGACACTGACTCTTTATTACCATTTTCACTAAGCTGATCAAACAAGTCTTTCTCTTTATATGCTAGCATATTTATTGTGATAGGGATATTTAGTAACACATCCAGCTGTTATTATTTTATTCGCATGTGTATTGTGCTTTATTGTGTCAGTTTGCCACTATAAAAGTTCCATCTTGTCTTCCGACTCCTTCAATGACCATTTTGAAATCCTAGTCTAGACAGCCAAACCACGTCTACCACACATGCTATGCTAGTAATGATATAGGACAGCCAGTTATTTTATGTGTCGATACGAAGTTTTACCTGACATTGAACTACTGAAGTCGCTAGCTGCACCAGTCTTTCATATAATATTGTCTAATTAAACTCGTTTAATAAATTGGGTAATGATATGAGTTCAATTTTTCAGACTTATGTCTTATTAATTTTTTTCATTTTCTGGTTTTTTTAGGCATGATTACAATAAACCAGACAAATATCAATACAACCTGCATTAATCTAATCCCCTAGAACGTTCATAACACGTGAAAATAAAATAAATAGGCATGGTGTGTACTTTATTACAGATCCACCAACTATCACGACTTTACCATCAGATGAGACAGTGACTGAAGGCAGCATCTCGTTGACATTACAATGTACAGCCACTGATGGTAAACCAGCTACACTCATTACATACACATGGAGGAAAGACGATGGTGATATCAGCATAGGTGGTAGATACAGTCTCAATGGTGGATCATTGACTATCAGTACTATTGTAAGAGAAGACGATGGTGTATATACATGTTATGCTAGTAATGGCATAGGACAACCAGATAGTGCATCAGCTACAGTTACTGTATATTGTAAGTACATTTTTATGTATAGTGTATTGAGAGTTATTAAGTGTTAGTAATATTGTAAAAGAAGGTGTATATATATATATACATGTTAGTATTGCATCTTTGCATTCGTGAAGGTAATGTTATGATATAATGTGTTCACAATCTATGAAAGAGTATTTAATGGGTTAGCACTAATTTCTTATAAAGATGTACCTGTGACCTATGGAATTACAGACTACTATAGTGGAATTGGTGATTCGATATCCATGAACGTATCTGTCAATGCCAACCCATTACCTGTTACGTTTGGCGATTGGAAAAATTACGACGTAGTTTTAACTGACAAAGTAGATACATTGTCTATGAGTACTGTATTTATCAACGAAGTCAGGGAACTCCATTTCGGCGTATATAATATAACCGCACATAATGACATTGGAAGTGTTGTACTCCAGGTCAATTTACATCATGCAGGTAAGGGTAATATTTGAAACCGTTTTCTATTTTCAATTCTGACACAAAGTTCGTAAATCTTGCATTCTTATGAATTAGAAAATGTTTATTTTTTATAATACAATGTATATTTAATGATGGTAAATTAAAATTTAAACCTATAATACAACACTATGTACTTTTTAGCTTCTTGTAATTCATGTTCATGGATTCATGAATGGGACATGCGACATATATTGTATTGGTGAAGCTACATTTCCTTGTTAACAGGAGTACCCGACGCACCTACATCCATGAATATAATTGACCGTTCTTATGATAGTTTATCAATATTACTCTTGCCTGGATATGGTGGAGGAGATGGTAGAGACATAGTACATTACATTGAATATCGTTCGGCATTAGAAGCGTCATTCCAGTCTTGGCCATCTGACGGAATGGGAACAAGAAATACCACTATATGGATTATGCAGTTACAGCCGTCAACTGCTTATGAAATAAAAGCAAAGACAGGCAACATGTATGGAATCGGGCAGTTTTCTACTACATATGTATTTGTTACTTATCGTAAGTGCAAATATGCCATGAAAGCACTCGTACTATGTATATTTCAAATATGACACTAAATTTCAAGTGGCAATACTTTCTGCGTTGTACGAGAAAAATATATAATAATAATAATAAAGTATTTGTTCGGAACCGCTTTATACATATTGAAATTTAATCTAACAATAATGACATATTTACTTTATTTTCAAACTGATGCAGGTGAACCAATAGTTAATTTAAATGACCAGACTGGTATAATAAAATGGTCACGTCACGAAGATATGAAATATGAATGTGTAAAAATAGAAAAACTGGAAAGAAATGACAATTGGATTATAGAAGAGAATTGTTTAGACAGAAATGTGGTGGAGTATACA